TTGGGGTACGTTAATGATATCTGCTTCATGGTGTGGATTTGAAGGTAAAACAAGATCATGATTGTTAAATGGAATAACTACTTAATACATAATAATGTATTATGGAAGTGGAATTGCTGGCTCATATAGTGTGAGTGAAGTCATAAGAGCAAACAAGACAAACATCTAATAAGAGTACAATGTGATGTAAGCTTTAACAGAGTTTTTTTTTTTTGTCTCTATCCATAACAGGGATGCTATCTGCTTGCCCTTACTTCTAGGTTATTATGCAGACTAATCACAGAATGTTTATTAAAAAATGGTTTGAATTAACTATCACTATTTGCAGATGATATGATAATATACATAGAGAACCCCAAAAACTCCACAGAAAAACTCATTAAACTCATCAATCAGTTCAGTAAAGTGGCAGGATACAAAATCAACACTCAAAAGTCAGTAGCCTTCCTATATACAAACAATAAATCTGAAGAAGAAGAAATCAAAAAAACCATCCCTTTTATTATCAAAACAAAAAAAATCAAATACTTGGAATAAATCTAACAAAAAAGGTAAAGGACCTATACAAAGAAAATTATAAAACACTGTTAAAAGAAATAGAAGAAGACACAAAGAAATGGAAAGACATCCCCTGCTCATGGATTGGAAGAATAAACATTATTAAAATGGCCACCCTACCAAAAGCAATATACAGATTCAATGCTATTCCAAGCAAAATTTCAATGTCATTCTTCAAAGAAATAGAACAATTATTGATGAAATTCATATGGAATCACCAAAAACCCCGAATAGCCAAAGCTCTCCTGAAAAAAAAAAAAGGGAATGGAGGCATCACACTCCCAGACTTCAAACTATACTACAAGGCCATAATCATCAAAACTGCATGGTACTGGAACAAGAACAGACACACAGACCAATGGAATCGAATAGAAAATCCAGAAATAAACCCACAGATTTATGGTCAACTAACCTTTGACAAAGGAGCAAAGACTATGCACTGGAGCAAAGAAAGTTTGTTCAATAAATGGTGCTGGGAAAACTGGGTCGCTACATGCAAAAGAATGACGCTTGACTACTACCTCACACCATACACAAAAACCAACTCAAAATGGATTAAAGAACTAGACATAAAACCTGAAACCATAAAATACATAGAAGGAAATATAGGCAAAACACTACGTGACATGCACATCAAAGACATCTTTACAGACAACACCCCAAGCAGTGATAGTGAAGGCAAAGATAAACAGTTGGGACTACATCAGATTAAAGAGCTTCTGCACAGCAAAAGAGACAAAACAAAACAAAGAGAAACACCACCAACTGGGAGAACATTTTTGCACATACACTAATGATAAAGGACTGATGACAGAAATCTACTAAGAGCTGATGAGACTCAACACAAACAAAGAAAATAATCCAGTCAAAAAATGGCAGAAGAGCTAAAAAGAAACTTCTCTGAAGAGGAAATGCAAATGGCCAACAGGCATATGAAAAAATGTTCAACATCACTTGTAATCAGGGAAATGCAAATCAAACACCATGACATAATCTCACATCAGTGAGAATGGCACATATTAAAAAACTAGCAACAACAAATGTTGATGAGGTTGTGAGAAAAAGGAACTCTTGTGCACTGTTGGTGGGAGTGCAAACTGGTCCAACCACTATGGAGAGCTGTGTGGAGATTTCTGGACCTACTAAACATAGAGCTTCCATATGATCCAGCAATTCCACTCCTAGGTATTTACCAGAGGACACAGAAACATCAATTCCAAAGAGCACCGGCACCCCTATGTTTATAGCAGCAGTTTACAATAGCTAAGCTTTGGAAACAACCCAAATGCCCAAAAATAGATGACTGGATCAAGAAGATGTGGTACTTATACACCGTGGAATATTACTCAGCATTCAAAAAGATAAACACATGCAATTTGCAGCAACATGGATGGCGCTGGAAGGGATCATGCTCAGCGAAATAAGCCAAAAGAAAAAAGGAAAATACCGGATGGTCTCACTCATAGCAGGAATCTAGAAAACTTAAATAAGGGACTAGGAAATGAATAACTATAAGAAAGTGAAAATCAAAATCAACAAAAAACTATGAAACAGAGACACTCTATGGGGTGGAGGGCGGGGAGGGGAGGGATTGGGGTAAAATAAGGGGGTTGCAATTGTATGGGGAATATAAAAATAAATTTATTTTAAAAAAATGGTTTGAATTGTAAAATATATATTAAGCAAATATTCTAGCTTAAGGTGTGTTAGGTCTAAGAAACCAATGCTTAGCATATTTAGAAACAGAGATTTTGAAAGAGATATTTAGACTTCATGATTGCTACAATTCCTGTGATCAACTTTCTTTATGCTGGTACCATTTTTTCAACCAAAAAATATGTGGGAAACAAAGTTAATTTATATATATATATATGAGACGTTTTTTTATTTCCACTTCTTGGCCACAACAAAAAAACATTTCATACAACGTTCATATTTAATAAAATGGAAAAGTTTGTTCTTGAATTGAGGACATATTTTAAAATTGCATAGTTTGAAGAGTTCCTCCCTACTATATAAATTTTTTTTTGCAGCAGACCAAAACCAGCCAATCTATTTTTAATGTAATGTGGGTGTTTGAAATGTAAATTTGCTTTGACTGAAGGATGCTCTAGAGGTCTTGGAAGGAGATAAGGGGAATTGAGGAAGTTAGAATAGAGAAAAGGGTGCTGTGTGAGCAGGTGGAAGACACCAGTACTGAGAACATGGTAAGGAGGTTAGCCAACCAGGGAAGAGGCTAATGAGGACAGATATGAACTGGAAGATAGTGAACTAAAGAACACAAAATGAAACACGTGTAAGGGAAAGCAGAGACTCAATGTGGCTGAACTAAGAGATTACACAGAAATCTAAACATAAAACAAAATGGAAAGAGAATTGATGGATGAATTAACAAAAGGAAACAACTGTGACTTACCGAGATCTGTAGAAAGAAACCAAGAAGACAGACTTGTCCTAAGTAGGAACTAGACTCAGGATTTTCTTTTGCTCGCTATGCATCATTTTATGCACCAATTTCTCTTTGGATATTTTATAATTATATACAATGAATAAAGAGAATTAGAAACCTTCTAGTCATCTAGGGGCATACATGGCTAGCTAAGAGGTGATGCAAATATCATAAAGGTCAAAGGGAACGGAAAGGGCCTTAAGAGATTAAGGGACAGGTTCAAGCTTCCCACAGATACAGTTAAGTGAAAAGATGCCTGTAAGGGCAGGACTGGATACAGTGCAGGTTTTCTGATCCCATGCAGACCGGGTAAAAGGAGGAGTCAGAGTTCAGTCTGTTTTTGCAGGTTTTTTATTTGGGGTTCACCAGCATATGGAGCAGGGGTGCTGGCTGGGGGGCTGGAGGTGGCAGGCCTCCCACCCAGCAAGTCTCACTCTATCTGGGCTCTCTGGCGTTCTCTGCTTCTGCTTCGGCTTTCCTTCAGGTTGCTGCTGCTGGCTGGGCTGCTGGCGTCCCCCGTGACGCCGCCTTAAAGCACAGTCTTACTCAGCTGAATCCCATCTACTATGCCACACCCTATTCCAGTGCCCGCCATCAGGAATGCATAGGACAAGGATCTCATCTATCCTGATGGCGGAAGGGCAGAAAAGCCTGACATTTTCTTTACCCTACGTCCACCTCAGGGTTTCTGCCATACAGTCTATACATAACAATTTTCTAAGCAAACAACATGCAGCCATGGCCCACAAAGCAAATACAACAAATAACAAATAAATTAAAAAATACAACAGAACACAATAAGTCCGGCAGGGCACCAACAAGTGCAAAAGACAATAATTGTACAAGATGAGCCACCAATCTGCTGGAAGGCGCTGCTCATATAGGGAGGGGAATACTCACGGCATCTACTATACACCAGGAGCGTCAGGCTTCCTGGCCTTCTCTGGTGTAGTCTCGGCTACAAGCACACACAGCATCCACCCCAGATGCATCCTCTGGATTGCAATTTTATTCTGTTGGGGTAATCGCCACCCTCAGGGTTTCTGTCCAGTCGCTCCAACATCGCCTTCACAGCACCCATGCATCACAGACCCTGCACTCAGGCAACCACTGCACAAGCACATGGGTCGGGGATCCAAATCTGCATCAGCTTGGGGCTCCACCCAGCCAATTCCCCACCGTCCCAAGGAAGGTTCCTCAGCTCTCACCCCACTCAAGAATGACAGGGCATCCCCAAGGTTGATTTACGAGACTCACAGGTCTTCAGCTCCAGGCTGCTTAACACCGCTTTAGGTTCTCAACTTAGCATCAGTACCAGCTTTTGCCACTTAGTTGGCTTTCTTCTCCACTGGCCATGGGCATACACAGGCTGCTTTTGGCCATCTAGGCCCACTGGCCCACCAGATTCTCAAAATAAACTAACTGCTAAGGTTTCCGCTCTGGCAGGATGTCAGTCAAAATCATAGTTCATCAGTCTATCAGTCCATTGGCTCTCCTGCTTCAGCAATGGCGCTGCCTCAGGGGTCATTGCTGGTCTTTCCGTGTCGTGGCTGGTCTATCCGGTGTCGTTGGCTGGTCCTTTGGGCGTCTCCTTCAAGAGGTCATCTGTAGCTCGTGGACGTATCCATCTTCTATACCGGCATGGTGCTCCAGCGTCGTCACAGGCAAAGTTGTTCTCTTAGTGCCTCCAGGTCTTCGGAGGGCTCCAATACCGTTGCATGATCTTGCCGACATACGCCATTGTAAGGGGCAGGACAGGACACGTGCAAGGTTTTCTGATCCCATGCAGACCGGTAAAGGAGGAGTAAGAGTCCTCAGTAATTTGCAGGTTTTTTATTTGGGTTCACCAGGCATAGGCAGGCAGGGTTCTGGTGGGGGGCTGGAGGTGGCAGCCTCCCAGCCCCAGAAGTCCTCACTCTATCTGGGCTCTCTGGCGTTCTCTGCTTGCTTCGGCTTCTCTTCAGGTCTGCTGCTGCTGGCTGGGGCTGCTGGCGTCCCCCCGTGACGCCGCCCTTAAAAGCACAGTCTTAGCTCAGCTGAATCCCATCTACCTATGCCCACACTATTCCAGGTGCCCGCATCAGGCATGCATTCAGGACAAGGATCCATCATCTATCCCTGATGGCGGAAGGGCAGAAAGCCTGACATTTTCTTTACCCTACAATGCCCCTTAAAGGATGGCAGTAAAAATAAAAATTAGAGTTTAGAGTTGCTAAAGAATGATGACTCACACATTTGTGTAGATTAATTACATGCAGAGTCTTATTCAAGTATTTAACAATAGCTATCACCAGATTTAGGTTGAAAGAAAGTCTCAGTGGTCCCATGTTATATGAGATTGTGGGGAGTTGCAGAAGGTTCTAGTGGTGGATGAGGGAGTACAAGAAGAGATTATACCAAAATGTTTACTATTTTAAAACAACGAGTACGCTTATACTGGAAGAGTTTCCACCCTGTTTCCATCCCTGTTTCGTGGATTTTTTTTTAAATCTCAATAATTAACTGAATTATGTGACAAACAATTCTGATTAAGCGAGAAGGGAGATTGAAGATAATGCTATTCTGAAGAGCTACGAACACCAGGTGGGGAAAGAAGGCAGGAAATTCCAAAACTAACAAAAATTTCTGTTCAGGAAAATTTCTTCTCATCCTTCTCTTCCTCACCACAAGTTTCCTTGCTTCCTAACTCACAATGATACTAATATTAGGCTATAGGTCAGTGTATAAAAAAGCAATTTGCCAAAGGCTGATATACTAACAGCCAATTCACCTGAAGCCCAGTTCATGTTAGACCAATTTGCCAAATTTACAAGACTTACTGGTTTTCTAAAAGTCAGCAATAGAATTCACTGCATTTTTAGCATAATGGATTGGCAGGTTAGTGCGACTAGGGGAGTAAAGAGTCCTGGCACTTGGCCTCCTGATTCTCTTCCTGCTCTCAGTTTATCTTCCTTTTGCCCTCAGGTTCATTCTCTGCTGCTAAGGGCCCTCCTCTTTGAGCTTCAAAGCCTTTCCTTCTATAATACTGGAATGGCTGGGCTGTCATGTGCTGACCAACTTTCTCTCTCTCCCTCTCTCTCTCTCCATCATCCTGACTGCAGTGGAAGGTCCCTCTTCCTTGCCCCAGTTCTATATTCCAGCTGCAGCAGTAGGAGGGTGGCACAGAGATAAAATGAACATTCCTTAAAATGCTGGTGCTATCAAAATATTCACAGCTTGTTAAACCATCCAATTTGAGCTGTTATAAACTTTTCATTAAACAAGATTTTTTAGACAATTGGCAAATTTGAATAATTTGGCAAAGTTTAATAGACAAAATTGGAAATAGCCTAAAAATGCTAAATGTAGGATCTTTTTATAAAGAATCTTGAAAAGAATCAAAAAGAAATCAGTATTAATAGAAAAATTCCCATTGGAAATGCTGAAATTTAGGCAACTTTCAAAAGAAAAATAGGTACTAGACTTCCTTAGGACCTTAAAAAAAAAAGAACATTTCTTAAAATGCATAAAGCTGGAAAGTATAAAGACAAAGTGGTGGGCAGCATGCACATCTAAAACATGCGTCATATGCTGGCCAATAAACAAAAAAACATACAAGCAAAGCAAAACAAATTTAAAAAACAGTGGCTACATTGTAAGATTCCAGTTTGGATAAAACCTGGTGTGTATTACTACACTAATTGAAAAATCTGGGTGAAATAACACTAAACTATGAAAGATAAACATGTAAATCCGGGAAGAAAGATTTGTGAGGGTGACAGACTGATTTTTTTTTTTTTTTTTGGCTTTTCCACACATATTTTTTTTTTTCAGGTAGACATAAAAATAATAAACATGGGAAAATGTGTTTCAAATTCTTCAATTATTTTAGAAATGAATTCAGTTCAGTAGGGGATAAAGAAGAACCACAAGTCATTATTTTAGATATATATAGTTTTTAAATAACTAGAAATCTATTGATTTTTATAGCCACAAATATACGATTCCACATAAAAATATTGTTTGAATGAAACAAAACTTTATATTCAAATGCAAATATCAATTTTTGCATTTATGTCTATGTTTCATTTTATGATAAACTTAGTCCATCTTTCCCTAGCCTCCTATACTAGAGAGTTTCTTGTTTTCTTCTGAAGGTTGGATTCTATTGAGCTGGTTTTTGTGAGAAGCAGAACAGTGAGTCCTGATATATAACTGTTAGGAGACACAAGACATGGTTGCAGTCTCCTTTTATCAATTTTACCTTTTGGTTTTCCAGCTTTCTGTGAAGGCTCTTCTGTATAGCATGAATAATTGAAAGTTGCTATTTTAAGACAATATACAATAACATTGGTTTTTAAAAAATAGAAAAGAAAGTTATTGTAATCTTACATGAGTGAACAAAATTTCATTCCTGAGCTCTTCAGAACTTTCAGCTGGAGTCCAGGCTTCTGCAAACTGCAGGAAATCCCATTTTTCCTTATCGCCTTCCTCAGCCTGAAGTTGTTCCTTCCTACCATTCAATGTGCTCCCTGTAACCTGAGTCTGTAAGATGGAAAAGCATATGATTTTACAATGGTTTACCTCACTGCTGACTTCTACTAAGCAGTAACTTGATTTTGCATTTAAATCTCTAGCAACAACTACAAAAAATCTTATTGTTTCAACATATCATGGGCTTTAGTAATGTAATCACTTAAAATTATAGCCAAATTACCAAATCAATGATTCCTATTTTAAGTGAGGAAAAGGTTTAACCAGAGAAGTTATACTATTTTCTTTTCTCACAAAAACTTGTATTCTAATATTTATAAACTTTGAAACTGAACCTATACATGGTTGACTTTTTTGAATATCTACACTCAGTGCTTAAAAAACATCCAATGCTTACCTAGTCCTTTCTATACACATCCCTCAAGGTTAGTGAGAAGAGATAGCTGAAGGGACAGAAAAGTAATGTTCCTTCTATCTTTTCTAGAATCTGGATACAGGCTGTTTTCTGTCCAAAATTAGCTGGGAATTCAAGAATCCTTCTAACAAGGGATTATTCTTTGCTTACTTTAAAAAGGACTTGGGATTTGAACATATTATGGTTCCTTGCTACCTAACACTCCCCCTCGCTAGACTCTAACATAGTAGAAGGGCTTGGAAAGTAATAGGAATACATGTAAATTCATACCTCTCTCTTATTATAGAGGTCTGCAGATAAGGTACTACCAAATGAACTTGCTTATATTAGCATCAATATCCTTGGCCTAAAACTCAACCTTTAACTCATATAGGATATGATCATAGTGAGTAAGCTGGTAACATGTTTTAAATTCAAGCTTTACCTTGCGATTCAATATTCCCCACATGAGAGTGTCTAGAGTCCCATTTGCAATAAGGTAGTGAATATTCACAGAACTGCACTGTCCAATTCGGTGAGCACGGTCTTCTGCTTGTTTTAGATGTCCAGGGTCCCAATACAACTCAGCAAATACTACATGAGTTGCAGCAGTAAATGTCAAACCCTAAGCAACATAAAGTGAAGAAACAGAGATGCAAATAAAGTGAGATTATAACACATAGCCAGATATAACAAAGTATCTCTGAACATGTTAAATGGATTACAGAATGCTGAAGGATTTAGAGACAAATCAGTCTTCCATTTTAAGCCAAATTAAGAAAATTTGATTTATGAAAGGCAAATGAAGATTGCTCACTGCAAGACAGCCAGGTAAACTACAAATAACACATTTAAAATGTGTTTCAATTCTTCAAGTCAGTTAGATGGATATATAGACATAAACAAAATCACTTTATGCTCTGATGAAGACTGAATTCACATTACCATTGGAAATCTAATAAAATACATTATAAATGAGAATATATTTTTAACACACAGTATCCATAGCAACTAGAGAGCAATGACATTCACTATTCATTTAATTCATCTGCTGTTCTATAAAGCAAGAAAATCATGTCTCTAGTCATATACTTGCTATGAAACTACTCAAGTTACATACCTAAGATACTGAAGTTTACTGGTTTACATCTCAATTTACAGCAAAATTACATTTTTTGTGCAGTTGTATTTACATCAGTTTGAAATAGTGCAACAATTTCAAGTATCAACTAAGTCTTGCTTTATAACCAATAAATGAAACAATCCAAATCTCCTCAAACTGAAAAATGCATGATTTAGAAGTTGGTCGGCTGAGTAAAAGATGCTATTGCCACATAGTAGTAAATTGTGTTAGGTGGTGAACAGAAAAATCTACCATCCATCCTTCAGGAGTATCATCTAATGCAGACTATTGTTTGTATGCACTGGAACCACTGTGAGTGACTTTTTGTGACTGCTGTGCTGTAATTTTGATATGTTATTTTATATCACATAACAGCATCATGCAAGCACCCATTAAATGATGGCACTAGTTCTCAAGTTAGAAAGTGACTGAAGACCAATTGCTTTGGAATGGAAAATGGAAGTAACCAAAACATGGAGAGGGCTAAATTTTGTTGCTATTTAGGAGAGGAAATGCCTGAAAATATTAGAGAGAAGCCTGAAAAAATAAGTAGTATTTAAAGAAAGCATCAAGTGGTCATACAAGAATAAAGGGAAAATATGCTGGCAACATCATTGTCACTCTAAGCCGCTACTAAACTACTATACTTCCTAGAACCAAGTTCTTTTATTTCCCTTGTTCCTAAGAAGATACTACTTTTTAAGTAGATGAGTTCTGAATTATCTAATGTACTGAGAAATACATCCTTGAATAACATATGAAGGTCTATACATTCTTAATTTTACTAAGTCTTGCATTAGGTCACTCACAAACTCTCCTCCCTGGCTGCTTCTGCTTTTCTTCTGTGGATGCGTACTCTATTTCTAATTTTAAGCTCTTGATATTCTCTAATAGTTATATAACTCAGATTACTGCAGGTTTAATCCAAAATGAAGTAAGTGGTGTGACAAGCCTCCTTTGGGCTGAACTCCTAGTGAGCTCTAGAACTTTTTCATTCTTGTAAAGTTTCTTTTTATATGCAAAGCAGCTCAATGGCTCTCTCCTGATTCCAGAGACCACAAAGAAGCCAGAAATGTTGTCTACTATGTAAGACACACAGCAACATGCTCAATTCCTTCTCACCATATTAAGTATTTTGTCTTATATATTAACATGAAAATACTTTTGAATGTTACTACAAAAAAATTCCAGAAGGACCCCCTCTAACACAGTGTGTCAGTGCCTTCCCTAGTATCGATTTTTCTCTTATTCTTTTGCATGGTTTGAGGTGTGACTATCTGAAATAAAGGCTACTTTTCCCAGCTTCACTTGAAATTATTGTGGCCATGGGACTAACTTGAGGACAGTGAGATACAGCATGTCTTTCTCTTTTAGCTGTCTAAATTGCAGATATAGATCTCCAGTGGAACAAGTGGTCAAGCAGAAAGTCAAAAGGAGCCAAGCCTTTGTAGAAGCACCATGCTAGCTTTGGACTGTCTATAGGACAAAATAAATTTTTGTATATATAAGTTGTTCTTAATTTGGGTTTTCATTTACTTGTAGACAAATCTAATCCTAAGAGACAAACCAGGCATACTCTAAGAAAAATTCAGATAGTCGAGTTCATTTCTCTCAGGCCACTTTGCGTCATAGTCTCTTATGGAAGTTAAGTGCTGTAAGAAAGGGATTAGAAAATTCTATACAAATGCAAAGGAAGGAAAATAGGTGACAAAAATGTATCACAAGCAATTTAACTGTACTTTTCTAGAAAAATCTTTCCTTGAAAATTTAGGAAGATGTGAATCCAAGTTGTTGAAGCATCTTTTCTATTATTCTGTGTATACTTTATATTACTTTGTAATTGTGTATAAAGTAGAATGAATAGTTATACCAGATGGTGGATATAAAGTTGTAATTATATATGTATAGATATATAATTATATATAAGCTATAGTTATGGTTAATGACCTTTTTACTACCTCAACAATGTTTCTTTATCAAATTTAGTCCTGAAATTTCTTACCTGACCAGCAGCCTTAATGCTTAGGATAGCCACACGAGTATCAGGATCCTTTTGAAACTGATTAACGAGATTTATTCGTTCTGAAGATGGAACACTTCCATCTATCCTAATGTAACGAGTCTAGCATCAACAAGAGAAATCACAAAGTTAGGATAAGTCCCTTGGCATCCATTTTATTTAATCTATTTTACAGCTTATTTTTATGTTCACATAACAAAATAGAAATCGGTTAAGGTGACAGGTTGGTAAACACTACAGAAGACTCTTAAGCAACTTTTTTAAAACTTAAAACAATTTCATATTTTTTAAACTTTTAAGCGACCTACCATCAATGCCAAGCATTGATAGAACAAGAGCTTAATAAATCAGTAATGAAGTAAGCTAATGCTGTCTTCTGTAAAATTCTCTAAAAATAGATACGCAAACTTTAAATTAGTCTGGATCAGACTAACTTTGAAGTCAAAGGATCACTAATTCCAAAGTGAAAATAAAGTCAGACATGTGAGTACAAAGTAAAAAGAGGATTCTAGCCATTGACCCTATTAGGGATTCATTAAGAGTAGTCCATTTATTTCTGAACTATCCCAAATACTAACAGATTTTCTTTTTTTATAGTCCCATCTGAGTTCTGTTTAGTCACAGCACCAAATTTAAAGCAAACATGTGACAGAGTCATCTCCATGGAGTGAGGAACCAACATTTTAGAAAATGAATCTTTAGATAGGAAAACATTAAGTGCTAACCTGAACAGCGCTGTCTTTTAAGAACAATTTGAGAAGAGAAAAGGGAGTAATCACTGTCTGTTAGAATAGCTAAAAATTAGCTATTCTATCTAAAAAATAGCTATTCTAGCTAAAAATTAGAACTCTTTAATCAACTCTGTAAAAACAAGAATAAGTCCTGAATTCTAAATAGTCTCATTAATGCCTTTACTTTCATGGAAAAAATGCCTCAAAAATGCCTGAGAAAAGTGGATATTCCCTTTTATAAGCTATTATTAAATTAATGTACTTTATTAACTTTCTATGCCTTTACAAAACAGATACAAATTGACCAGTGATCCATTTAATATCCAGTAACGAATAATACAAAATCTGAGGGTCTTGCTAAAGAAAACTCATTGTCAGGCTAGAGAGTGTTAGGGAGAAATTTATCTCCAACTCTGCTACTATATACATTGGGGGTATGAATGTTGTGGTAACATCAGCTAACAAAATTGTACAACATGGATGGAAGTGGAAGGGATTATGCTAAATGAAATTATGCTAAAGGAAAAGAAAGACAAATACCAGATAGTGTCACTTCCACGGGGAATACTGAGAAACAAAACTACCTACATTTTTAACTCATAGTGATGCTAAATGGGATTTTAAAGACATCAGTAAAGTAGACTTGGGAAAAAAGAGAGAAAATAATTTTTAGAATAGATTCCAGTGCTTGTAAGGTATAATGGAATCAGAATAAAAAATATTACAAATAAAATTTTATTGCCCAATCTTTTAAAAATTATTATATCTTACTGGAAAAAATTTTACACATACTATATGATAATCAAGGAGGAAGTACCATTTAATATATAGCACTTTAGGCTTTATTATCTTATAAGTCTTTTTAATTCCTTCTTTGGTAATATTAATGAACACATTAGGTAATTCTTGAAAACTTTATACAAAGTATTGAAAAAGACACGGATTTATTTTTCTACGTAAAAGTCTTAATTACCTACAAAGACAAGTGGTTCTGTTGCTACATGTATATTGAGTTCATATAATTTGTCAGGAAATGTCTTCTGGCTGCTTCTGAGGCTCTGAAGAAGCCCTCAGCACATAGAGAGAGATGACAGGTTTAAATTTTGAAAGAAAGAAAATGAGATGTTATCTCTGATAGGACTGTTAGGAAACAAGGTGAATCTAAGACAACGCAGTAAAGCCAGTAGATTTGTTGATTACCTGGGCCATATGTTTCAAATTTACCTACATTAAATCTTAACACTATATCATACTCTAGAGTAGGCTTCCTGGAAAATTAAAAAGTATGTTTACAGCTGCACACTAAAGTTGGCTGAATTCATTCTTCCTTTCCTTTGGATACCACGATGTTCAAAGGTCATCTTGGAGGTAACAAGAATTTTAACTGCCTGATTCAATCTAAATGGTATATGCAATAACAAAAATGACATATTTTAATCAATCCAGGTAATATTATCAGTCAAAAATTATAAGACAGGTATTAAAGAGAAAATTTATCATCGGCATAATAGTAATATCATTTGAAAGAAAAAAATCTGATGACATATTATAAACTATCACCTAAAGAAGGCAATAAAGCTAAATTGTAAGACTACAAATGTTTTAAAATATTGAAATCTGCATGCCAAAAAATGTATTTTATATGAAAATAGTAACATACCTTATTTTCTATAACTGCTTCTGTGCAAGCTTGGAGCATGTTTAAATGGTGAGCAAAAACCAGAAATTTAAGTGAATCATTCTGAAGCATCATCTTAATATAATCTTTTACAGCACCTGCCTAAATGTTAAAAGTTAAATCTCATTAATGACATAAAAATGTTTATTTCATTTAGAAAGACAAGAAGAACTTCTCAAAAATCAATGTTTCTATGAACTTTTAACTGCTTTGTTCTCTAAATAGCCTACAGAAATAAAAGCTCACATTTATGGGGCATGTGGGAGAGAGACAAGAGAAAAAAACCAAACAAACAGAGAAGTAAAGTAAGAACAAGTCAAGAATTAAAAGGAAAAACAACAGACAAGAAAAGAGTTTCACTGGAAAGTAGGTAGTTAAATAGGCTACTTACTTGAGAAGGGTACTGGCACTTTTGTTTCAAATTTAATTTTCAAAAAAGCTCATAGAGAAGACAGAAGTGAAACAGAGTTATGGAAAAAAAAATAGAAGATAAAAAATGATGTGAAAAAAAATTTTAAGGGACTATTAAAAGAATAAAAAACTTGGGGGCCTCCCTGGTGGCGCAGGGGGTTAAGACACAACCCATGAAGCTGTCCGCAGCCACTGCAGCATGAGTTCGACCCCCAGCAGGCAGCAACCCTCATGGCACAGCAGACCTCTCCTGACTCACTCCTGCTTCCCTCAGCACAGTACTTCAGTCAATCTGCCTGTTCTGTTCCCTACTCTGTCTCTGGTGAATTCTCTCACCCTCCGCTCCTCTGGCCTGTACCCCAGCTCTTGTATGCATAAATTAAAATAAATCTTTAAAAAAAATGAATACAAACTTGGGAGTGAAGCTTAATTATTAAAGAAAGTTGTTTTACTCATTTTGGGGGAAAGGGGAATAGGAAGCAGCATTTATTGGTGGGTATGACTAAAGAGCAGGTGACTCCGAGGCTGTCACAAATTCAGGGCCCACAAATAGAAGTATTTGACCCCATATCCATCTGGTATGATTTTTGGCCACCAAATCTTCAAATTCATCTACATTAAACTTGGTAAAGTGTTACTTCTTGGAGATGTGGATTTCCTGGCAGCCAAGGAACTTGAACTTGGCTCTCCATAGAGCTTTAATCACATGCTTCTTGTTCTGAAGCTTGGTGTGCATGGGCATGATGACTTGGCTAATGTGGACCCTGGTTAGTGCACCTGGAGCTTTCTAAAACTCTGACTGGAGCTTATGACTGGGAAGGGCATGAGATCAGACATGCATGTGCACAAGAAAGGGTTGTTTCCAGCTCTCCTGAGGGCAACCAATACAAGCTACAGGATGCAAACATGACCAAGGGGACTGCCGTTTGCAGGCAATACACACAAGGCCCCATGGAAAAAAAAGAACATCGTTAGCTTAATTGGCTGCAGATACTCATTTTTATTTAAACTGAGAAACTTAAGTTGATTTACAAATAGGCCTTTAGGGACTAGACAGGCTAATAGAATGGAAAATGGGAAGATTTAGTTTGTCTGCCCACATGGAGAAAGGTGCAAAAGAGGCCTGATTGATGAAAGTGAGAGCCCAGAAGATCTGAAAGAACAGGGGGAGATACAATGAAATTGTGAGTTAGAAAGGAGACAATCTAGAAATTTCAAATTAAATAAACTTGTCTTGGTTAATCAGGTCACGTTACCTACTAAAAGTGAGAATCAATATGTGACAACTAAAAACTAAATTTAAAGGAGATAGAATTAATTAAATCTCAAACATGACTAGAGTCTCTTAACTGTGAAGACCTAGTTACTTAGAAATTTTGGGAAAAGATAGCAGGCTGACCACATTTATCCTTCATGCCCTCTAATGTTGTATTTAAATGATAGCAAAATGTCTAGGGAGAAAGACAATTGATGAGAGATGATAGCAACAAACTTTTAGAAGCTAGGTGCTTGGTAAGTGAATAGCTCATCTGACAGGTGGCTGTATGAAAAGCTGAGGCACACCTGATTTATAATGTAGTGATCTACAAAAGTTCAGAAAAAGATGCCTCTAGCAGTGAGGAGGTATGGATAAGCCAGGAGGATTGGCTGAAAGAATATTTGTAGTTGGTGATGTGCTATACTAATCCTTATCCTCCCCACCCTATTTATGTAGAGCATTAGGATCATATAAACTGATCCTTGTGGGGTGAATCTAAAATGATTCTTTTGGGATTAATCTAAAAAAATTGGTATTTTGGATTCTACACCATAATATCTCAGACAGATAACCCTTTCATGAAGATCACAGTCTATAAGTTATAACTATGTACAGAGTTTCAGTCAATATTTAGTATCTTACTCATAAATACAAGCAAGATTCACCAGACATTTGTAGAAAGCACTCCATGTGAACAGATCAATGATACAGAGGGAAGAAAATGGAAGAAATTACATTTATAAAACAAGAACAGGATGCTGCAAAAAAAAGAATATGGGGAAGTACTCTTGGAAATTAAAACATAATAGTAGAAATTCAAAATTTACCACTTGTTGTAGAAAGTAGATGGAAAATAAGAGTAAATATAAATAGAGTAAGTATAAAAATATAAGAAAATCAGAGGACCAAGTCACAGGCGTATTTAAATAATAAAATGTCTAGAAAATAACAGAAGAATGGAAAAATTAAAGGAATAAAGTTCAATGGAACTTAAGGACATGAGTTTCAAAAAGGAAAAATGGAAAAAGTCCACTGAGAATGCTCCACAATATATGAAAATGGAGGCAGAACAAAGCCCTTCATTATGAAATTTTAGAATACTGGGGGCAAAGGCAGGATTATATAAGCTTTCAGAGAAGAGAGGGAAAGATTTCAAAGAACTGAAAAAAAAAACAAAACTATGGGGCCTCCCTGTTGGTGCAGGGGTTAAAGTCTCGGCACTATCAAGCTATTGCCAGCTACTGCAGCATGAGTTCGAGTCCCAGCCAGAGAGCTAACCCACATGGCACAGCAGACCTCTCCTATCTGGCCTGCTGCTCCCCTCAGCAGTGTATTTAAGTCAATCTGCCTGTTCTGCTCCCACTCTGTCTCTGGTGAATCCTCTCACTGGTCCCTGTACCTCTGGCCTTGCACCCCAGTTCTTGTATACATAAATAAATAAAAGATAGAGATCTTAAAAAAAAAAACTATGAAGCACACTGATTTTCTCAACATCAACATTAGAAATTCTGAGAGAAATTATTTCTAAGAATTTGTACGTAGTGAAATTAAAAATTAGGTAAAAGTGTAGAATAAAGACTTACGTGTAGACACTCAAATAACCAATGACTGTTAAATTACAAAGTAAGCAGTAAAACAAACCAAGAGCCAATATAAACATGTGGCTGAGGAAACTGAAGTAAAGGGCTAAAAGAATAGAAAGTGGTTGCCTCTGGGGAACATGTGTAAGGAACTATTATATTTGGAAATGGCAGTTCTCATTAAACTATGATCATAGATAGCTCTGGTAATAATAAAAAATTTAAAACGGGCATTTTAAATAGAAAAATACCTATTTAAATTTATGCATAGGGCTATAAAGTCACAAGATGATTCTGCAAGCTATATTTTGTCTAAATTTCCCAAACAATAGAAGCTCATCTAACAATGAGACTGGAGGTTGTTAAGAACTTTAGCCTTGGATTTCAGTGTTTCAGAAAGTAGAAATGAAGCCCTCTCAAAATAAGGTATAAATTCCAGATATGTTTCCATGGTAACGGAACCACTTTAATAAACTGCATGTTTGCCTAAAGAGCTATATTTACTGTGATAAACTTTCAAAGTACATGTCAAGTTCAATTTTTAAGGCACATTCATTTACCATCCATTGCAGACTTACAAAGTATACAATCACTGTATCCAGTCTCAGATGCATTCCTGTCTCTTCACAAGCAAGCTATTTCTTCAGTCTCTGTCACTGATATCATCCCCTCTTCATTGCACCCACACACTGTTGATTTCAAAGCACAAGCCGGCTGCTCCAAATCCCTCCAACCACTGGCTCAGAATGGGTTATGACCACTAGTAATATCATAAAGTTCAATTGTCTAACAGGCTAAACAGTCTCTTGGGACTAACTTAGGAACTGAACCGTCATTGTGACACTGCTTTCTAGGAGAAATATATTTGGGGAATCAATAGATATATATGTAATAGATCTGAGCATATAGCAGGGGAGCAGGAGGGAGATAGGCCAAAACAGGGGAGGGAAGAACGTAACAGACTATGGTGATGGATCATGGGGGCTGTGGTGATGGGAGAACTACAGGGACTACACAGAGGAAAGAAATCAAATACTATCCAAAAATTAAGAAAATAAATTAGTTAAAAGAAAAAATCTACGTAATAAATGAACTTTAGGATGCTCTTCATTTCTTAGGTGGGAGATTGTATATGCTTGATTTTTAAAATGTATTTTAACTATTCTGATTGTATTCTAATTAGAACTGGCACTACATGGTCATATTTTAAGTTATCTGAGCAGGAATTTGCCTTCAAATCACCTTAAGTACATATTATACGAAATGGCAGGTTCTATAAATGATCAACATTTTGGTTATGCTGGTTCAGGTTTTGTGGAAGTTATAAAAAATGCATATTTTTCACATTTATTGTTTATTTTACTGAAATGTAACTGTTAATCAAAGGTTTAATTTAAATAATTAGAATTATATAATGAAGACACACACTACACTTCATTTAAAGAAATGCAAAAATGATGAGAATACACTACAAGAATTTTTTCTTAAAATTTTGTCAGTGAAGGAAAAAGACTAATTAATACAAAGTAAAAATCAAAATCAACGAGCAACTATAAACCAGAGACACACTATGGGGGAGAGAGGGGGCGGGGCGAGGAAGGACTAGGGTCAAAATAAGGGGGGTGCAATTGTATGGGGAATAATAACCAAAATGAAAATGCATACATTGTGCAAAAATGAAAAATGATGGAAGAATTATATAAAACAAAAAAAAGAAAGATTAGCAAAAAAAATTTTTTTTGTCAGTGAGTCAATACACATAGTACTTTCTGAAGAAAAAGTGGTAAAAAAAGCCCACTTTGCATTTAAAGCTGATGAAAGTTACTTGATTTTAATTGTCAGTTTAATCAATGGTAAGAAGGAAAAGAATTTTAAAAAAAAATCAACCTGAGCTGTGACAAGGAAACTCACCTTGACCAAATTTTATTTAGGTTTTCTAAGCCTTCTTGACTAGGCCTAGACTTTCACCTAAGAGTACATTCTGTTCTTGCCAGCCCACGTAGCTCACTCAGTCTTAGCAAGAATCCTTAACAAGTCAAGAGTATTCCTACCTTTGATACCTGATCAGCCCTAAATATCTGATCAAGATACTCATTTCCACCTTTGATGTCTAAGTTGTTAGCCTTCCTTTAGCAAAAATCCTGTCAGGTCAGTTTTAGCGAAAATCCCCTTACCCTTGATGTCTCCACTTATTTTCCTCCCACAAGCTCTCTCACCCTCATTACAGCTCATTGGATATAAATCTCCTGTCCTTATTGCACTTAGAATTGAGAGATCTTTCTCATCAATTGCAATGTCATTGACTGCTATTACAATTACCTTGAATATAGTCTTCCTTATTTTAACAAATGTCAGCATAATTTCTTCTCGAACAGCTATAACTTCTAGCTAAGAGGATGAGCACAAAAGAAGTGTTAAGTTCTGAAGTCCTCAGACCCAGACCAAATAACAGTTTTGTTCTGAAATCTGTTGGCCACATGCTTTAAGGAAAGTTTTTCAAGCCCTTTTAATCAACTTTATTGTGAGTTGTTTAAGCAAGCCTAGCACTTCCATTTCCCTGCAAATTATTCTGACCTATAAGTTTGCTGGGGGCTTCAAGAGAAATAGTGACTAACAAAAGAACTTTAAAAAAAAGCTTTAACTTGCTTTTATGGTTTTGCATTTAATATCAGGAATTGCATAGTCACCTTGGGGAACTATGGGAGCTGCTGAGTGAACAAAGGGTAGCTGCAGTAGAAAGACAGAAGAAACTAGGTTCTTTTAGAAAAAACAGACAAAACCCAGCATTTGTTTAGTTCTTATGACTGCTCACTGCAGCTGAGCCCTAAAATGGCTCAGGGTGCATTTTTTACTTAGAGAAATTTTCTTTGCTCTTCTGATAGTGGGGTGTCACTACCAGATTTCCAGCCAGATGGGCACACTTCACCATGTTTGTCAGAGCACTATAAGGCCTGACTTAGTGTCAGAGTCTCATCCACAGAGTGGCCAACAGGAGTTTTACAGTGATTTGCTGAAGAATATCCTGATCATCAGTGTTAAAGAGGCACCAAATGAAAAGCCATCATCAGCATTTAAGACCTGATAACTGAGCAATGGTGCATTTGGGAAATGCTCATGGTTCCCAGCCTCCTTGTTTCTAAGGTGTGTTGATT